GGGAGGGAGCGAGGGAGGGATCAGCACATATCAGCACATACGGGAGGAGGGCAAGAGATCAGCAGCCACCACCACCACCAGCAGCAGCAGCAGCGAATGACGGGCCGAGGGAGGCATCAGCAGAGAGGAGGGGGAGGGAGGTATTTTAAGTGAGGGTGGCTGGGTGTTGATGGGAGGGTTCCGTCCGTCCATCCACATTGCTGTGTATATATGTATTTGTGCAGGGGAGGGTGGCTGGGTTGGTTGGTTGTATTTAGCTTACTCATCACACCACTCGTGTGTGTGGCTGACAGATTGACATCAATCACAAGCTACGGGCACGTGTGAAGCGAGGCGAGGCGGGCGAGCAGGGGTGTGTGTGCCGTGTCCTTTGTTTCGTCCCTTTTCTCGGTCTCTCATGTGTGTGCGTACGTATGTCTGTGTGGCTGTTTGACCTGTTCAGTTGGATCACTCAATGAAAAGATACACTCAGATAAAAAGACAGACAGACAGACAGACAGAAAGGGGCGTTTGTATGTTGTTGGGGGACATTCTTCATTCAACGGACGACATCAGACAGTGTTGTCCTGGCCTCTGTCGTCCTTCACAGACATAAAAAAGCAACGGAACAGTACGCCGCACACAGACAGATCAATAAACGATGCAGTCGATAAGAAGAAGAATCACGTCGGTCGGTCGATATCAACACGTACGTCATGGAGACGACCGCCTCGCCTGCCCTAGCTCTAGCTGAGAAGAGGCTGAGTTCCCTCAGGGGCTGCTCGGAGTTGCCTCCTCTCCGTGACGGAGCGCCACAACTTCACCACGAAACAGGCCCTCTCTCTCCGCCACGCCGCCTCCCGCTCAGGACTCCACAGCGGACCTGCAGCACACACACACACACACACACACACACACGTAGAGAGGGATAGTCAGTCAGTCAGTCAGACAATTCATCTAAGTGTCAGTGTGTTGGTTTTTCCTCGACTCTCTCACCCAGCCAGATGGCGTATGCTTCGCGGTCGTGCATGTGGCATACGGCGCGGTGGGAGCCCGTTGCATCAATGAAGCGCACCTGTCCGTCCGAAACAACACCCCATGGAATGAATGAGTCCCCAGTGACTGACTGTCCGATCCCCCCGTTGGCTGACCAGCCTGTTGGCCTCCAGTCCGCGAGATTTGAACTTTTCCCATATCAGCTTCACTTGGCTGGACTCCCCTTCGGTTGAGATAAAGCGGCACAGCCGGCACACCTCTGGGTGGTTTTTGTATTACACCAGGACGTGCTTGTAGCCCTCGCACTCGTCAGGGAAGGGGCCTTGCCACCGAGGAGGACCGGGAGGCCGCTCGGAAACGTCAAATACCTTGAGAGGAAAGATGTCACAACGCCACATTGAGGTTCGTGAACTAGAAGGGTTTTAAGCCCGAAGGGTTTGAACCCTTCCCATCGAGAGGCACTCTTGAACCCTTCCCTTCCGCAACTCAGATCTGTTTGTTTCTGTGTGCGTTCAGGTTGAGGCTCGTTGGGAAGATGGATGCTGGAGGAAGAATCGGTATGCAGCTGTGCACGGGAACTCGCCACGGCTACACACACACACGCGTGACGCCCGTTCTCAGCCACGACCTCCTCATCCGCTTGTTCGGCTTCCTCTGTCCTTTCGACCTCTCGCGGCTCCTTCCCGCCCTCTCGGCACCCCTTATCATCCGCGCCTTCAGACGCTACACGCACAGGGCTGGGGAGAGGAGGCTGTGGGAGGATCTGCAGCCGACCGAGGCCTTCACATGGGGGAGGCAGCTGTCCTTCTCAGAGAGCTGCGCGTCGTGCTGCCGAATGGAGCGCCCAGGTGGTGCATGGCGGTGTGGGTGGCAGTGGCGGTGTTGGAAGGCCATGCAGAAGGAAGGCGACAACTGGTTCGCCGCGAGTTGGCCAACCGAGTCAGCAGCGGGATGCTGATGGGGAGCCTTACCCATTGGGCAACACCGTGTCAGCTTCCTACCGGCACTCGAGCAGGTCGTTGGGATGCCTCTCAGCTGTGCGCTCCTTCGACACGACCGCCATTGGTCCTGTCGGTGCTGGGCTTGACAACCATGACATGGACACCACTCGCCTGGGCCACCAGGAGCATGACTTCGCGGACCCCTCTTCCCGCTGAGTGAAGGCCACTCACTAGAGGCCGTCGACGAGGACTTTTCCACCCACGACAGCAACCTGGCCCTCAAGACGGAGATCATCAGCCTGCTGCCGAAGCGCCGCTCGCTCAGCCGTCTGCAGGAGTTGCCTCAAGGCGTACAACTACATGGTGCACCAGGTGGATCAGCTCCGCGACGCCCTCGTTGCCAGGGGCTGCCACCGATCTGTGCGGAGCATGCCCATCCATCTCGGCTGCCATCTCGCCTTGGACAACATCCGCTATGTGGAGCATCTGGCGGACCTGTCCATGGCCGTCACGAACCCGGAGGCGCTGTGGGGCCAGCCGCAGATTGTCAGCGAGGGAGGCGAGATCGATGCCGGCGTGAGATCAATTCGGTGTCATCACAGCAGCAGGGCGGCTCTCGCGGCCAAGTACGTGAGGGAGTACGCCTGCGCTGCTGTCTTGGTTCGGCTTTCCTTCTCCGATCCCGGTCGTGATGTCGGGTCGCATGACAAGTGGCCGGGTGTGTTCCCCGCTGCCGAGTCGCTCGTCATATCTGCCGATGAGGCCGACAACAACCACAACGACAGTGACAGAGATGACCTCCGGGTGCAGGAGGCCGTGTCGATTGTGGCCAGCGCCGAGTCACGTGACGTTCAAGGGCGGTGTGCATGTTCCTGACCGCTCTCCAGTCGGCACGTGGGGGCAGTGGAGAGCTGCAGGCTGGAGCCATCCATTGCGAGCTGCAGGACATCACCGGCACCGCCGGCGGCACCACTCTCAAAGTCAAAGGCGACACCGCATATGTCACCGGATCCTGCCACAAGGTCGGTCACTGCAGTGCAGTGGGGTGCCTGCCTTCATGGCTGAATGTGTGTGTGTGTGTGTGTGCGGTCACTTTGAGACTCAGTGTGCGTATCACGTGGGCGAGACGGTCATGAGTCTGCAGCAGTGTCGGCTGTCGTCGGCCACCAAGGAGGTCATCGTCTACGCCACCATCATGGGCTTCATCGGCGCACTCACACCACTCGTCACGCGGGAAGACGTAGGCACACACAGTGCAGTGGATGGATGGATGCCATTGGATGGCTGTGTATGTGTGTGTCCATGTCGGTTCGATTCGAC